AGTGATGGGGTTGATTGGTGTCCCGTTCCTTCTTCGTGTGTCACACTTGACCACACACTTTTAACCTTCTCAATCCACTCATGCACACTTCTACATAGTAATGCCCTGTTGCCATATTGTGTTAAAAGCTTCCAATGAATTTCAGTTCCTGACACACCTTATGACCAGAGAAATTGGATCACTGCTATAAGCACGCATGCACAGAAGGCAGTGTGACAAACATTTAAAGATATGTTATGGTGAAAGTGCAGAGAATTTTTGAGCAGCCAGGAATATGTATAGAGACACTGACCTAATGGTTATAGGTTGGTATCTGAGGCAGATTTTTGGTTATTACAACTCTTGGTTTAGTTTCCATTCTGGGTTTCTTTATACTAGAGACATGGAGCACTCTTGGCTTTTGTTAAGGTTGGTACCTGTTGTTTTATTTTTCAAGCTTCGTCAGTAGATTTGTTTTTATATTTTCCCTTCATCTTTAATTTGTTCATTCTGACACACACACACACACACATATATATATAAATATACACACACATAGTATAGTTAATATATTCCTTGATATATTCAAATTTATATTTCAATTTCATTATTATATATATATATATATATATATATATATATATATATATATATGTATATGTATGTATATGTATATGTATGTATGTATATAAATATATATATATATATATATATATATATATATATATATATGTAATTTCTATATATATTATTTATATATATATATTATAAATTAATTGATTTAAAATATGGTTTCTTCTGCTACACAGTAATAACCATGTTTCAAAAACTGAAGTTAAAAACTTCAAATTTAGTTATATAATTAAATTAAAAACATTAGTTCTGTTTCATCTTCAAGCTAATTTTGGGATAACTTATTTTTAAATGCACATATAAATTAATAATTTTCTGTTTCCAAGGATACAGAGAAATCCAATCATTCAGACTGTGGCTGTAGCGTGTTCATTTTTATTAACTATTGTTGTATCAATTATGAGTTATGTTCAAAAAAGAGGTTAAGTTTAGGGAGGGTAGGGGTGTATTTTTTCAACAAATTCTGACATCTGTTAAACGAATGTTGTCTGTTTTTTTTTTTCTTTTTTAACAGCAAAAAGTTTTTCTGCATTTTTTCGTACTTGTATACCTAATGATTCTTTCTAAATGAGGTGTTTGGTTTAGAATACGTTTTATACGTTCTACAATTTTAAAATATTTTGTCTCTTAATTACTTATAGACTATATTTCTTTTTCAATCAAGTAAATGTAATAGAATTACTTAAATTATTTAAAATTATTTTTTCAGATCATATATAAGTATGTATATTACAAGCTCCCATTTTTTATTTTATTTTTAGATATTATTTAAGGAAAACTTTTGGCAATGACGGCAAAGAATAGCTATTTCATTTCTTTGATTCAGTAAATTTTTATTTTTATAAACTTAGTAGTATATAGTTTCTCATGTATACCTTATACATATATATATATATATATATATATATATATATATATATATATATATATATGTATGTTACCGTGATCCTGCTATATATTTAGAAATTCTTGATAAAATCCAAAGAAGAATCTACATTGTCATTCGTCCTGATCTCAGCTTCAGTCACTTTCCCAAAGGGGATAACATAGCTTCCCTATGCCTACATTATCTTCTGTCTTCTTAATTTCTGTTCTTTTATTGTTCTCACTCCTTAATGTTTTTTTTTTCTTATATTCTTTCACACTTAGTAATCTCCAGTGTCTTAATGGCTTTATTGCCTTGCTTGGGATGAAATGATAGAAAATATATATCTGGATGTGTGTGTGTTTTATGATGTTATACGTACTTGTATATATTCATGTAAGCATATTCTATTTTTTGTATAAAATATTCTTTTTATTTTAAAGCTATAATATTGAAATATTATAGCTTTATTTATGCACCTACTACTCAAACCTGACATTTTATATTTTCTTAGATTTACTAAGCTTAATGTTAAAAAATGAGATAGGAAGGTTGTGAAGTGTTTGTGTTGCAAGCTTTGTGAAATTAGCATTCAAAATTTTTTTTTTTTTTTACCTGAATTCACCAGTTCGAGATATGAAATTCTCATATGCTCCAAAGAGGAAGTTTGGAATTATACTAGACATATGATAACATTACCTCTACATACATTGAATATGAGTTTATCTTTATATCTCCACACATAAGGACCAAGTTAACTCATCTTTAAACTTATGTAACCTTTTTTTGACTGCTTCCCAGGCAAGAAAAGGAAAACAGTTGTAGTGCAAACTGTGAAGGCTGGTAAAGAAAATCTGATATAAATTTTTTTCAGCTAATAAAGAAATTATTAAAAGTAGAATTTGTAGGGAGGATTATTATTATTATTATTATTATTATTTTTATTTTCTTTGATTTCTGGCGTTTACACATTTCTTTCCGGGTCCCGCCCAGGGACCTATGGTTAGAAATGGCGTCATGATACTTTCCACTGACAAAAAAAAAAAAAAAAATTACATAGATAAAGCCCTTCGTAAGGTGTGGGCTGTACTTGTCAGAACAATTTTTTGTATCTCCTTGAGGCATAGACTTCCAGGAATCCCTTCAATTAGTCTACTGGAATCTTTTCCAACCAGTCCTAGGGTTCCAACTACAACAGGGATTGTTGATGTTCCTATATGCCACATTTTCGAGATTTCTATTTCAAGGTCCTTGTACTTTGACAACTTTTGAATATCTTCAAAAAGATACATTGCAGTCGGCAGGGACTGCCATATCAATATGGAGGCACCTTTTTTTGTTTGTGGTCTTTAATAACAATATCTGGCGGTTGGCCTTGATTATTCTGTCAGTGTGTATTGTGTAATCCCATAGAATTGTAACAGGTCCTATCTCCGTAACCAGGTCTGGGTGGTGTTCATACCAGTTTCTTTCAGTTTTCTTCCGTAGAAGTTGCAGATTTTCCAGTGCAGATATTGGCCCACTCTGTCATGTCGGGTTTTATATTCAGTGGGTGCCAACATTGAATTACAACCTGATACAAGATGATCAATCGTTTCTGGATATTTATCACAGACTCTGCATTTTGGGCAGACACAATATTTTAGTATATGTGCTTGATAATTCCTAGTTAGCAAGCATTGGTCCTGCGCAGCAAGGATAAAACCTTCAGTTTCCGCTTTCAACCCTGCACTACGTAGCCACTGATGGGTACGGGTTTTGTCTACGTCTTATTATTATTATTATTATTATTATTATTATTTCTGTTGATATCTGTTGTATAAACATTTCCTTTTGGGTCCCAACAAGAGACCTAAGGTCTGAAATGATTCATGAAATTTTCCACTGATCATTTTATAAAAAAAAAAACACATTTTACATAGGTAAAGGTCTTCATAATGTCCGAGCTGTACTTGTGAGTACAATTTTTTTAAAGCATGGCCTACCAGGAAACCCTTCAATGAATCTATTGGACCCTTTTTCAATAACTACAACTGTTATTATTATTATTATTATTATTATTATTAAGAAGAAGAAGAAGAAGAAGAAGCAGTAGCTTCTTCATCATATTTAAATGCTTTCTTTAGCAGCTGTTGAGGCAATTTTATCAAATTTGGATCCTTTACTTGTAGGCCTATTCTATTCAGAATACTTGTGAAATTAAACAGCAACAATAAATTTAGGCATCATTTCCTCAGAAGGCTTTATCATGCATTATAAATTATTTTCTATGCATGACTCAGAATAAACTTGCTCTTATATTTGCAGATTTTTAAATGATTCAGGAAGTGATAAAATCAATCAATGACTGAGAAGAATATTGTGATTTTGATCATGAGAAATTTATTGATAAGTTCATTAAACTTATAAAGATACAGTTCAGAGGCAATTATTTTGAGACAAACACATTAAATAAGATTAGCACTGAATGTTCGTAAGGTTTATTGATCAGATTCCTATATGATATGTGTGTGTGTATATATATATATATATATATATATATATATTATGATAAAATATAGTTTTAAGGTATACTAACGTTGGACAATCTCCTTAAAGATGAAGAAGAGACTTGCAGCATCAGAAATATGGCTCTACAGAAAGATGCTGAGGATACTATGAACTGAGCATGGAGAAAATGGAAACTTATAGTTAACATCAGGAAGAGGCAGTTGAAATTTCTGAAAACATTTAATTAGGAAGGAAGACTTGGAAAATCTGATACTCACTGGACAGATTAAGGGAAAGAGGGACACTGGAAAGCAGCACGAAACATACTTGATGAGCTTGAGTAAATGGATGGCAGAACAGGGTTTAGGAGTAATAACAAAAAGACAAAACTTATGAGGATCTACAAGGGACAGGAAAATTTTAAGGGTTATGATCACCTATGTCCTGAAGAAAGAAGATATTTTGAGTTAAATTGCTCAATACCAGGCATAGAGCATATGTAAATATAAAAGTGGACATTGGATTCAACACCCAGAGGCAAGAGTTTCATGCTAAACACAATTGTCAGGCCATGCTCAACTATATATACAGGTCAGTGATGCATTGTGGGTAGTATATTGTATTGTTCTAATGGTTATTTTGGTGAGTGGTAATAGTTGTGTTTCAAATTATTCTAGGGGCTATCGAATAGGAATAATTGTGAATCCAAACTCATTTTTTGTCTATTTATTGTGTTTGTTAACTCTTTTTTTAATTTATTATTGATTATTTTATTGTTCATTGCTATTAATGTTTTCTTGTGTTTATCTTTGCATACATGGTTTGTTTATTTGTTTATTTATTATTTGTTTATTATTTACTTTATTTTTATTTACTTATTTTTTATTATTTATTTACTTTATTTACTTATTTATTTGTTTAAATTAATTTATTTTACTTATTTTTGTTTATTTATTTTCATTTATTCTTGTTCGTTTTCAGATTTTGGATTTTTAATTAACATATATATTATATACATTAGATGTAGGCTTAAGGCAATATCATATTGAAAACACCAGTTCTTGTATGATCATTGGAGTTAAGCAATGTTGTGCCTGGTCAGTACTTAGATTAGTGACTAATTGTGAAAACCAGGTGCTGTAAGCTTGGATATGCTGGTGGTATAATGGTCAATGGCTTGAAATTGTTAATTGGAGAGCTGTGTTCAAATTCCTGTTTAGTTTATTATATTCAATTATGTGCAAATACTTTTGGGAAAGGTATGAATCCATCTCTTTCCTACCAGCTATGGGTTAATTGGTAATATATATATCATTAAACCATTATTATCTAAAAGAAAATTTTACAATCTAAAACATTTCCTGGCTTTAAATAACCTGCAAATTGTTGATAAGCTGTAGAACATGAATCAATCAATCCATATGTATATCCACATATATGTACACATTTATTTATTCAATATATATAATATATATATATATATATATATATATATATATATATATATATATATATATATATATATATATAAGTGTGAATATAAACTAAATAATGAGATATTAGCAACTCTATATGTATGTGATAATGTACATATACAGATGGCAAATAAATACTCATTTAAGGTGTAAACAAAACAGTGTCCAATGTAGTTAAACAGAGCTATAAAATATATATTAATAAATACACATATACCTATGTTTGTAGTTTTATATTTTACCCAATTCATCAAGCACAAATGGTAAATGAACTATTTAATCATAACTATATATATATATATATATATATATATATATATATATATATATATATAGACTGTTTTGCTGTATCACAGCTCACCAGTGTTACTAGACAACCGATCACGTCAAGCCAGAACTGAAACCTGAAAAATTTGGTCGAAGATTCTAACCCCTAGGCCATTGACACCCAGTAGAGACAAAGACAAACTTTTGCATATTTATTTTTTCATAAACACACCAATCACTCAGAGAACTCAATCACTAGAAGAGTCTTGCATTATCAGCTGTAATAGTGATGCTTTACAAATTGGTTCCTTACTCCCCAGTGCTCAACCGATTATATTATTCTATCTATCTATCTATCTATCTATCTATCTATCTATCTATCTATATATATATATATATATATATATTTAATTAAAATGAAAGAGGGTCTACATGTGTGACTTATAATAAGTGGATTTAATAGGCCAGTTCATGAAATTAGAGAAATAAAGAGACAACAAAATGATAAAAATATTGTTAATAAGACTGATGATTTTTATTTTATATCAGTAGGCCTTTAGTAAACTGGAGCATGAAGAGAAAGATTTTAATACCAGAATTTTAAGACACCCCTGTGTTTTTTTTTCAATGAGACAAGAAAAAAATGAAGTGGGATTCACTGTTCTGGGGAATTTTGTTGTTTTTTCATGTGTTGCATTACCGTAAGAAATTTGATTTAGCCTAGTAGCTTGCCCTGATTATGGTTGTGGAGGGTTTGTAGAAGGCTCCCTGTGGAATCTGTAGTCTCTGAGTAAATCTAAAATCACTGTTTAATCATTTAATATGTGATTTTATTTTGAAAATGTGTTTTAACTCCAACAAGAATGATGTAAATTGGAGTTAAAACACATTTTCAAAATGGAATTGAACATAATCATCAGGCCTGACAATTGCATTTAAGCATGAAACAGACTGTTACCTCTGGGTTTTGACTTCAGTGTCCACTTTTATATATATATATGATATACTAGCAGTAGAGCCTGGCGTTGCATGGGGATGTAACACTAAGAGATAGATCAAGTATCAACCATCATAAAGATTGAAAAATAAAATTGACAAAGATTATTGTTTAAGGTTGACAGACACACTTGTCTTAATTAGTTTTTTTTTTTTTTTTTACGAATTGGTCAAACCCAAACTCAAACAAAAACATTATTTTCAATCGTTATGAGTCTCCCGATTGAATAGAATTTTATTATAAACAATTGTCTTGTAAATGGAATTTTTAAAGCATTCTAATGTAAAAATAAAGAAAAAAGTGTGCAAGACATTAAGAAACACTACCTGCCAAAAAAAAGTGAAGTTTTGTTGAAATTAGTTGAAAAATGTAGGAAATCCGATCCTATATATAAACAAACACATACACATAAACAATCTGGGTTTTATAATAAGTATAACTCGATATGAGTTGTCCCCCTTTCATTCTAACAGTGATGCCTCTTAATCGTGTTTTCAAATTGATTTTGTGCAAAAACAATTGTTTTTCCAAGTTTTGGCACTGCCAGAACCACCACAAGGTAATTTCATGTAGTCCTGTGAAGTTTTGTTGAAATTGGTTGAAAAATGTAGGAAATCTGATCCAATATATAAACGTACAGACACACACACACACACACACAACCTGGGTTTTATAATAAGTATGATATATATATATATATAGCTCCACTCATACATAAACACACAAAGTGAAAGACTCTTGGCCTAACCCACTTCCCAAACTCAGTATTGCAATGACCAAACATTAGAATACCAATTCTATGAAATACATTGAACTTAGAAGATTTCAGAACACTTCATATATCTAATTTTAAATCACAGTTAATTAAGGTATCAGTTCACCAGAATGCTTTATCATAGATTACTACTACCATTTCTGGGCTGGAGCTATCCGGTCTTCATTTTCAAATCCTGTAAAATCTAAAAGTGTCTATGTAGCATTGTGGGTGATGAATTGTTTTCCACTTTGCAACCACTTTCCCACAGACCAGGTATTACAAACCTCTCATTACTCTATCGCTATTTCCATAGATAATGCTTAGACAAACTACATTGAGGCAAACCACCCTCATTCCCTTCATATTCCATTAGTAAGGAAGAAGTTCCACTTGGATAGCTTCTTCCCAAGAACTGTTGCTTTGTGGAACAGAATCTTAGATTGATGCTCTCCTGGCTACTACTATCTAAACCTCTTCAAATCTATGGTTAACCATTATCATTTACATATCCTCATAAACTGTGCGGCTTATTCTTACCACTCATTCAATAGCCATCTTCAGTAACCCTCTACCTTGAGTGGTTCTTGGATCTTGTATATGGGGAACATCAATAAAAAAACATGAGAAACTGAGGGAAATCTACATTCCAAGTTTATTCATTTTCAAATTTTAAAGTGAAGTCTCTCTACAAACATTGTTACATATCAAGTAGATTCTTTGTGTGTATGATTTTATTTAATAATGTTTATAAGTAAATTTCTGAATTATTTCTATAGAAGATTAACATCAACAGAAACAAAAACTTTTTAAAAAATTAGGATTTCTTCTCTGAGCTACAATACAGAAATTTATTACTGATTGTCTATTATTATTATTATTATTATATATAGCTGGCCACTTGTATTCGAGGATGCCCGTCTACTAGGGCAGCTAGTCAATCCCTATTGTAGATACTTGCTCAGGCGCATTTGTGTTTATTCAACACCACAGAGCCCACATGTGGTCTATACTCCAACTATGCTGAGCAGACCTTAGTTACAGTTTCTGGGAAAGTGTGTGTTATCTATCATGATCAACAGTTTGAGCAAAACCAGCACACTCAAGCCCTCAGCCACAATGACTTGTGAATTTGTGCTAGAACAGCTATTGATGGCCCCCAAGTGTTCCATCTACCCAATTTCACTCACAAGGCTTGGGTCAACCTGTGGTATGGTTTTCAGGCACTTTCTAAAGGTGCCGTACGCTGGGATTAACCCCTCCAGTTTGATAACATCTGGAAAGTTTCTTTACTGACAAATCGACCATGGTGAGATTTGAATCCGGGTCTCATGGTTAGTATGCAAATGTTCTAACCACTCAGTCACACGCCCATATCATTATTATTATTATTATTATTATTATTAAATCTTAATTTATATCCACAAAATGCCATTGGCTCAACTGAAAACAATGTGTGTCTGTGTTATCCAAGGTACTTTAGAGAGTGCTGGAGGTCTTTAGGCACCTCACTTTTTACTGGTATTGAAAACTAAACAGAAGACTTAACTTTGTCTTCTTGGCTTCTATAGCAATGCTACTGAGAGGATGTGTGTTGTGGTGCAATGGATTTTAGCTTGGAATGAGAAATCGGAGAGCCAAGTTCAAATTCCAGGCGAATTTGTTACATTAACTTATGTGCAAATACCCTTGAGAAAAGGCATGAATCCATCTCTTCCTGCACCAGCAATAGGTTGAATAGCAGGACAGACTGGGTCCTATAGTCTTGATAAACAACCAGTCTACCACAGAAAGAAATGGCAACCTACTGCAGGAAAATTGCTTAGTCAATCATAAATCAAAAGTGATATGATCGCCCAAGCATGTATCATGTATAGCACTTAGCTGACTGATTGAACTTGCCAGAGTCACTTGTCTAAAATCATGATTTCCATTAATTTTCATAATAAATTATAAAACTCCATTTTCCTTCTATATACAAAACTTGTATATAAGTTTTATATATAGAAAAAATCTGTCTCATTCCAGAAAATAAGTACAAACAAGCAGCAAAAAAAATTATATTTAAAATCAAAACATGTTTACAGTAGGATAATATATTTAAAAGTAATATTCATTCTATGAGAGGATCAGATAAAAAATATAGAATAAGGGATATTCAAAACTTAATATTTTTTTGCCTTCCACCAATTTAAACATCTGACTTAGTCCCTCCCAACAAAGATATTGCTACAGAAAATATGGGTAATAGTAGTATCCATTATTGAAGCACTGGAAATTGTCCTTAGCAAAGGAATTTGAAGAATGAAGGGCAATAAAAAATGACCTTCATGACTGTAAAAATATGGCAAGTCAAAAGGCTTTTCTCTTGAAACCACTATTATTTTAACTATCTTCACTCCTCCATTTTTTTTTAAAAAGTGATGATGAGAATTGTAATAAAACCTAAATATATGATGAAAGGGAATTTATAGATTTTTCGTATTTGAGAATTTACAACAAAAATATTAAACCCTATTTATTTATTAGATTGTTTATTTACAAGAATAATTTTAAGAGGAGAAGATAAAACTTTGACCCAGAATGAAAACTAAGTAAGACGTATGTCAGAGAGGGCTGTGACAATGTTATTGAGCTGAGTTCTATCATTT